AGACCACCCGCCCCCGCCCCGCCCCCCCCCCCCCCCCCCCCCCGTGCAGGAGCTGCCTTCCCAGCCCCGCCCTGAGTCTGGGCCGCTCTCTCTCCCTCTTAGCTCAGCGCATCGGCACCCCCTGTCAGCCGTGCCAGGAGGAGGTGGCAAGAAGCCCCTCCAGCCGTTAGGGTGTCACTCCCAAGGGAGGGGACTGTGCCACCCTTGGCCGGTCTGTCTAGGCCATCCAGTCCCTGCGGGACCGTTTGTAGCAGTTAGGTGGACTAAAGTCGCCTGGTAGGAGGTGAGGTGGCCTCGCTGACGGGGCTGGCATATAGACACTAGGGAAAAGAGGCTCCGGGCCACTGCCAGGAGCACCATGGGGCCACGACACTGTTTGCCCCGAGGAGCCTCCCGTGCACTGGCCACGATGCCAGTTAGCATCTGTTGGGCCATAGTGGGCGGGGTGTCGGGCGGGAGCCGGCCCGCTTCCCGGGCTGGCGCTGAGCACCCGGGGAGGCACATCCCCGAGGCGGGCAGGCGGGCCTGCCCCGACCCACGGCTCCTGTCGTCCTCAGCCGCGCTGGCGGAGATCACGGAGATGGTGGCGCAGCTCCACGGCACCATGCTCAAGATGGAGAACTTCCAGAAGCTACACGAGCTCAAGAAGGACTTGATTGGCGTCGACAATCTCGTGGCCCCGGGACGGGTGAGCACAGCACTGGGCTCAGGGTGTCGGCTGGACCAGAAGCCAGCGTTTGGTCGCCTCCGGCTGCCGCCAGGACTGCAGGGGGATGCCCGGGTGTTCCGGGGTAGTCGGCCGGCTCTGGCCTTCTGATTGGTTAATGAGCTTGTCCTCCTACCCCCAACACACACACACACACACACACACAGTACAAAGACAGTTTAAGAAAGCTTTCGTGTTTTTTAAATTTATGTGAAAATGGAAAATACAGTGGGAACATGGCAGAGATAGGTGACACATTTTAGCCCACACTGCCTGGGATAAAGGGTGGTGGGAAGGTCACCTTCATTTATGGCCTTGCCACCCCTGCCCCGATGGCACCGTGTCAGAAATGCACTCGGGTTCTCCTCAGCCCGGTGGGAACAGGGAGACAGGAAACAGCCCACGTTCTTCCTGTTCTGCTGCTCGGGAACAGTCATCCACTCGCTGCATCCCAGCTGCCTTCTCTGTGGTCGGCTGCCTGGGCCTGAGCCACACAGAGAGCTCTCGAGAGCGGTACTTTGGGCTTCCCCACCGTGTTGTGCCCCGTTAGTTGGCACTCGGCACACATGAGCAGCTATCCCAGGCTGCTCTCAAACTCGTGGTCCTCCTGCCTCTGTGCTGCCCAGTTCATGAGACCCCAAAGACCAGGAATAGACAGACTCTGCCGTAAATACATGAGGTTTTTTTTTTATTGTATACATATTCTAACGCAGGATGCAAACTTCCTGTGGAAACAGGAAAGGAATGCGGCCCCGAGGTCTAGGGAAGCAAAGTTTTTAAAGGGAAAAAAAATGCAAACAGGACTTACATGTTTTGGCATTATGTGATTGGGTAAGGGAAATTGACTTTTGAAAGGATTGGTCCACTTTAGGCGCCAAGACCACAAACATCTCTGGCCTGGTCATGTGGCCGGTTTCCTAGCAACTGAACTAACTGGTGGGCGGGGAAAGAGTGCATCAGAGCTAGTTTCTTTTCCCAGGTAGCTGGAGCTTTAAACTTTAAAACAATACCCACTGATTTTTAATTCTTTGGTCTCACCTCCACCTCCTGAGTCCTAGGATTAGGTTATGAGCTGTCACATTCCTCTCTGCAATGGCAACTCTGTCTGTCTGTCTGTGTGTGCATGCCAGAGTTCAGTCTCCGCTGTGTTAGTGTCTCTGTGCACAGGGTCTGTGTGCTACCTCGGATGTGATCAGCCCTGGTCATGTCTGTGTTCTGAGACCGTCTCTCCCGTGGGCCATGTGGAGTGGCTGGGTGGCATCAAGCCTTAGGGTTCCCCTGCCCCCACCCCCCAGCGCTGGAGTCGGCGCACACCATCACGCTCGCCTGTTTTACAAGGATCCTAAGCCTCAGACTCGGGTCCCCGTGCTTGCGCTGTCCCACAGAGCCGGGCTCCAGCCTCTGCCCAGGCAGCCTTCATTCCATGCGACCCCAGGCTCCTGGGGGAACCCAGGGAACGTGAGTGCACCTAGCCCTGCAAACCCAGCAAGTTGTGAGAGACAGCCCGGGCTCCGCTCCCTTGCCAGCTTGCTTGCCTGTGCTCCTTGTGCTGAGGGAAGCCTGGTGCACTGACTTCATATTAGAGCAATATGTGTAACGCGCCGCCTGCTGGAGAGCACACGTGGGCAGCTTCTCACTGCGAAGCAACGGCTCCGTGTGCAGGGAGAGGGCACAGAGCCGCAGGGGCTGCTGTGGCTCCAGGGTCAGCTCCGGCGGAGACGGTGGGTGCCCTCCAGGGCCGTGAGGGTTGCGCCCTGTGGAAGGGGCACAGTGAAGGCTGTCCCCTCCAGTAGCAGGAGGGGCTGAGGCATGCCTTCCACAGTGTCGCTGATTATTGCAGCCCAAGGCACTGTCTGGAGGCTGGCAGTGCCCTCGGTGAGAATACCTGACCAAGACCAGAATGAAAATAGCAATGTCAGGAAGGTAGCAAGCAGGTCCCCAGGCCGGGGCTCTGTGTCACGGTTGGGGAGGGGCTTAGATCTTGTTAGATGGCTGCCTGTGGGGTCTGCCGATCGGGATGGCTGGTGAAGGGACAGGACTGTCCCTGAGAGTGGCCATCGGGGCCGCCAGAGGACCCAGACAGTCTGGGCCCGCTGCTCACTCTCACGACAGTGTGAGAGCTCTAAGACTGGAGCTAGGAATAACTCTGGTGGTGTGGCAGGCCTGCCTGGAGCAGCAGCAGCCACACTGGCCCCAGGCTACCCCATGGCAACAGCAGCCTCGTTCTGAGTCTCTCCAGGGGCGGCAGCCACACGTCCAGCCCCACAAGGATTGGCCGGGTGCCGGCTCCGTCACCCCAGACCCAGCCAGGCACCCTTGGCCGCATTCCTTGCTGATTGTGCTCATCTGTCTGAACACAGGAATAGCGCTGACCTTCAGGCTCCTGTACGGAGCTAACAGGAGCACACAGATGGGTCACACGCGTGCTGCCACACAGCAAAGGGCGTTTGAATACTTGTGAGGCTGGAATTGGCCTGTCCCTCCCACATGCAGGACCATGCTAGTGCCCTCGCCGAGCTGCTTCCCTAAACTGTTGACAACCAGCTGAGTAAAACAGGAAGTGGGGAGCCGCCATTAGAGTCCCAGTCGGGCGACAGCAGAGAAGCAGAGGCACCAGTGGCAGATTCTGTGTGCATTGGACTTAGCTGCACACAGGTGCGAGGCTCACATTCCAGATCCTCAGGGCTGAGAGGGCGAATCAGGCGAGCCCAGAGGCTGGGGTCATCGAGGCACACACTGGCGATGGCTGCCACGTCTGCTTCCTCAGCTACTGGCTCTTGGGCACCTGCAGACCAGGGAGAGCGCGGTTCGAGGACGCTCAGACCCACTTGCCGCGTCACTGTCGCACTCAGCAGCTTCGGGCCCCTAAAAGCTGTTGATGGTGGAGAAATTCTTCCCCGTCCTCTGGCTGCTTGCCCAAAGGCTCCGGGAAGGGGAGATGGCACCCTGGTGCCGGGGAGCAGCGAGCGGGCACGCGGCGGGCGCCACTCCGTGGGCCGGGCTAGCCACCAGGGCCAGGCAGCAGGGCTGTCAGTGAGCCGGCTCTGTCTGTCCACAGGAGTTCATCCGCCTGGGCAGTCTCAGCAAGCTCTCGGGGAAGGGGCTGCAGCAGCGCATGTTCTTCCTGGTGAGTGGGGCAGGGCGGGGGCCCCGGCTGGGGGCCTGGGGGGGGGGCCCGCCCCCGCCCACACGCCTCTGCTCGCCCCTCCAGTTCAACGACGTCCTGCTGTACACCGGCCGGGGGCTGACGGCGTCTAACCAGTTCAAGGTCCACGGCCAGCTACCGCTCCATGGTATGACGGTGAGTACCCAGCCCGTGACTCCTCGTGAGCAGCGGAGGACCCGGACCCCCGGTCCCCGTGCGCGTGCGGGCCATCCAGGGAACATCAGCTTGGGCTGAAGGCTGTGGCTGCCTCCATGTCCTGGCCAGCGTGTCCTCACCAGGGTAGACAGTAGGCAGGGCCACACTGCACCCTGGCCATCCACATCCCTGGAATTCGGGTGTACCTGTGATGTCAACCTTCCCGGAAGTGGGGAGGAAGTCAGGAGGAAGGAATGTTCCCAAGCCTGACTGCAAGAACGGGTTCCTGGCCAGAGGCTGCCTGTACTGCTCTGGTAGCCAGCTTGGCGACTGTGCACAAATGCACTGCGTGCCGAGCTCGCTGCTCAGCGGGGACTTGAACTCTCCTTCCACAGATTGAGGAGAGTGAGGAAGAGTGGGGCGTGCCACACTGCCTGACCCTTCGAGGCCAGCGGCAGTCCATTGTGGTGGCCGCCAGGTGAGTGCTGAGTCTGGCCCCTCCCCCCCCCCCCCCCCCCCCCCGCCGCGCCCCCCCGGGGGGGCGCCGCCGCCGCCCCCCCCCCCCCCCCCCCCCCCCCCCCCCGGGCCTCTGACAGCCTGTTCCCACTGCCTGCCCCCACCGGCCTGCTCTGAAGGGCTGACTCCCTGCCTCCAGCTCCCACTCAGAAAAGGAGAAGTGGATGGAGGACATCCAGATGGCAATTGACCTGGCGGAGAAGAGCAACGGGCCCACCCCCGAGCTCCTTGCCAGCAGCCCCCCGGACAGCAGTAAGTGGCACGGGTGTGTCCCTGGCCTCAAGGCCCATCTGCACAGGGCAGGGACAGTCAGGACCCTGTCAGGGAGGCTCCTGCCCTTCAGCAGAAGGCAACTGTCCGAAAGCAAACCCCTCCGGGAACGTGGAGGAGCAGGACACCACCTCCCCTGAGCCAGCGCTGCCCTGTGCTAGCCATGTTCTCAGAAAGGAGTGCCAGCCAGGGCGGGGTCCAGGGGGGCCCCCACCACGGGGGCCACAGGGGGTCTCCATCACAGCCTTCCCAGCATTCCAGAGCGGCAGGGAGGCCTCTGTCGGAGGGCAGGCTCAGCCCCCAGCTCAGTGCGGCCCCTCACGCTTGCTGCAGAGTTCCCAGACGAAGCCGCAGCAGCCGACCAGGAGTCAGAGGACGACCTGAGCGCCTCCCGGACCTCACTGGAGCGCCAGGCCCCTCACCGCGGCAACACAATGGTACATGTGTGCTGGCACCGCAACACCAGCGTCTCCATGGTGGACTTCAGCATCGCCGTGGAGGTACTCGGGAGTGGGGGGCCTGGGCTTCCCCTCCAGCAGCAGACACACCAGCCCGGGAGCCAGCCTGCCGCCAACATTGCCACGCCTGTGCTTCCTGCCTGGGGGCTGTGCCATTTTCTTTGCTCCACATTTTCTCTCCTTTCACACTTAGTCAAGGGCTAGAGCCTGCTCACACCCCAGGGACGGTGCCACTAGAGGGCAGCACAGAGCTGCTTCGAGGGCCGTGCCCTCCCAGGGAAGGGACCGGAATCCCAGGGACTCACAGAACTTCTCACAGGCCTGCACTGAGCCAGGCCTCCCCTGCCCTCAAGGGTCCTCTGTGCCCTTCCCAGCTCAGTGGCCGCCCTGACTAGGTGCCCCTCTGACCACTGCTTTACTGACCAGACACCACTCACATGGGGTTGAGGGTCCTGCCCCACCCCCCACCTTCCTCCCTGCTGAAGTCACAGTTCGGGGTGACTACATGAGGACCCCACACCTGTGAAAGGTGACGGGGTCCGCCATACCCGACGACCTCCCCGAGCAAGGAAGCCCGTGTCGATGCCAGGGCGATCAGCGGCTGCCATGCATTCCTGACTCTGCCGCTTGCCCTAGAACCAGCTGTCCGGGAACCTGCTGCGGAAGTTCAAGAACAGCAACGGGTGGCAGAGGCTGTGGGTGGTGTTCACCAACTTCTGCCTGTTCTTCTACAAGTCCCACCAGGTGAGCGCCCACGGGCAGTGCGCCCGCGACACGCCGCACACTGTCAGGTGTTGGGACATACAGGGCTCCGAGCCAGCCCTGCCCGCTGAGCACTTCCGCTCTGAGCACTGACGTCCAGTCACTCAAAGACTCCTTACCAGCTGCTGCTCGGGTGACTTGATGCTGTCGTGGGGGAGAGGGTGCGAAAACGGGATTTGTTCACTCTGCCGACCGAAGAGTTAGAAGGCAGGAAAGTGTCCACACGAGCCGGGAGGCCCCTCTCAGTATTCTTTCAGAGTGGACACAAACTCGGGGGCAAAGAACGGACCACACGGTTAGAGCATTTAAGAGGAAACCACCAGGGCGGGCGCCCATCAGTCTCAAGGCGCCTGGGAGAATGGAGAACAGTCCGGCATGGCAATTGGCCAGAGCTGGGAGGGGAGAGGAGCTCTGTAAAGAGTAGGGAAGCCCATAGCATCAATTGGAAGCCTCAGGGCGCACTTCTGCTCTCCAGCACGCTGAAGCAGAAGGAGAAAGAGTGACTTGGCTTTTGTAAACTGGGATGGCAGAGCTCCCAGCATGCACCACATATGGGCAGCTCTCCCGGCCAGGTGTCCCGCTCGTCCTAGAGGCCTGACTTCGGAGGAGACAGGGACCATGGCTGAGATGGGCTTCCTCGGCTAGAACAGCAACCCTCCCCAACCCTGATCAGGTCCTCAAAGCCACCTCTGTGCCGTTACAGGACAATCACCCCCTCGCCAGCCTGCCGCTGCTGGGCTACTCACTCACCATTCCCTCGGAGTCTGAGAACATTCACAAGGACTACGTGTTCAAGCTGCTCTTCAAGTCCCACGTCTATTACTTCAGGGCTGAGAGTGAATACACATTTGAAAGGTAGGCGCCGGCTCCTGTTTGTACCCCCCCCCCCCCCCCCGCAGGAGTGTGGCCCCTTCCTGACGGCTCAGGGGCATGCTGCAGGCCCGCTACACACTGCAGGTCCCACAGCTTGGGATCCCAGAAGCAGGGGCAGAGCCAGCTCCCTTAGGCCAGTCAGTCCTCGCCACGGAAGGGTTTTCATTTAGCACGTGCCTACACCGAGCTCAGTCCTCTTCGGGGCACACAGCATGCCAGGAAGCTGCCCCATAGACATAAGGGGGTGGATCAGGCCCTCGGGCGTGCCCAGTGGACCCCAAGGCTGACTAGCTAAACGAGCACACCGAGAAAGTCAGCGAGTGCAGCGGAGGACATCCAGAGGGCAGGAGAAGAGGGAACAGGCGGCCAGGCTATGGGCTGATTTAAGCTGTACATGACATTCACATTCCAAGTGAAAACTTCGGCTTCTGGAAAGTGTCCCCCACAGCCTCACAAGACCCCAGAGGCCACTGGGCTATGGTTACAGTCGGGGCCCAAATGTGTGGGCTCCCCACTGAGGGAGCCAGCTCTCTTCTGGCTTCACGTCAGGATAGCTCGCTGCCTCGCTGGCCCAAAGCATCTCGAGACCAACAGGCCACTTACAAACCACAGTGGCCCCCTCGAAGATGCTCCTGAGTCACACTGCTGGCAAGTGAGCCCAGAGGCAGCAAGTCTGTCTAGATCAGTGGGTCCGAGGTCACCCGAGACTGGTCAGGAGACAGACGATCATAAGCTAGGACGTAGCAACAAAAATAATTTCTGGTTGGGTCAGCACAACCTCAGGGGCCACACTACAGGCGGAAGCGGTAGGGAGGCTGGGAGCACCGTTCCGAGTCCTCAGCTGAGGTCGGAGCCAGCCGTGCGGCCACGCTAGACCAGATGATCCTGAGAGCTGATGCCCCAGCCTTGCCTGTGACAACCAGCCGTGTCGACTCGGCTGCCCAAGAGCCACGCTGTCCCATAGAGGGACAGTGGTTGGGGGACTGTCCTTACTTCGCGTGTGTGGGCGGTTCCCAAGCTCTGTCCCTCTACGCGCCCCCAGCAGCCCTCTGCCGTGCTGTGCTGTGCTTTGGCTGCCCACTGTTTCTTCCCGTCACCCAGGGTGTTGTCCTGTGCTTGTTTCTTAGGTGGATGGAAGTAATCCGGAGTGCCACCAGCTCAGCCTCTCGGGCCCACATTTTGAGTCACAAAGAATCTCACCTGTACTGATGCTGGACACTTGGCTGCTCCAGCCATGGCTGCTCCCTCGGAGGATGTAACGCAGCCCATCACACCTGCCCGAACACGGACACCTGCGGAGGGTCCCCCACCTTCCTCCAGGCCTCATCTCTCCTTGGAGCAGCCTTTCCTCTGCAGGCCTGGGGAGCAGGGGCTCTAGCTCGTGCCAGTACTGAGACATTGTCATCAAGAAAGCGTGCCAAAGGACAGTCTGCCCTGCAGGCCCCAGGGCTGGTCCTATCCTTCACCTGAGGACACAGCCAGCGTGCCTCCTAGGGAGGGGCTGTCCCTTCACCTGCAGACTGCTCTTCAAACGGTTTTTCCAGAGCTCACAACACATGGCGCCGTCTTAAGCAAATGAGATCATTTTTGGATTTCATCTTTTCCTATCTTTCTACTTTTATAATAATAGGACATTCATAGGACTCACTTTCCTCGACTAATAAGCAGCTTGTGGCACACTCCAGTCCACTCAAAGGGTTTGGCTCCAGCGAGGCCCTGGTTGCCACACTTTCTCGGTGGAAGTTGACCAAATTGTTGGCGATTTCTATTTACGAACTGTAGTGGGGTTTTCTGCTGAGGAGCAGAGGCCCAGCGCAAGGCCTGGTGTCACTGTCCGTGCGTGGTGTGTGCAGTGGGGGCTCGTAGGCCCTGTGTGCTGTCTGTTTCACAAGCATGAGAAGCCGTCTGTGGTTGACCCGGGGCCATTTGTGCTGTTACGTCATGGGTCGTCGCCTGAGCTGGGACAAGCGCTGTGCTGTACGGTAATGGTACGGAGCTCAGCCTGGGGTTGGACCCAGTTCCCCCAGTGCCACGGTCTGATGTGAACCTACACACTCTCTAGTTGTATCTATCCTGCCCGTCAAGTCCTTCCTTATACTCACTCCTTCTGGGCACGGGGTACACAGGATGGCTGCCCACATCCTGGACAAGCTCCTCTGGAGACCTGGCTCCCAAACACTGGCTGAGCCTCCAGGGGAACAGGTTTGCTTGTTCTCCAGGTCTGGGTGGCTGCCATTCCCTTCGCGCACAGCCCTCTCAGTGCCCTACACTGCAGTGAAGGACATTCACCTGAGGCAGGCCTGCCAATGCTGAGGGGCTGGTGTCCAACTCACAGATGAATGAGGAGGAGATGTGTTAACCTTTGCCTTACAATGTACCGGATGGTTCTAAGCACTAACAAAAGGGAATAAAAATACCTCACGCCACAATCCAGCACACGGAAGTCTGAAGGCAAAAACCACCCCTTGTGTCTTCTCTGTGTCGTGGGCAGAAGGGGGTAGGGGAGGATGGGGAAGGACACAGGCACATTTTGAAAAGCACTTCACTGAGGAAGTACATCGTAGCACACCCAGGTGGGAAGAGGGGACGGCTCATGCTCCCATCACTGCTGTGAATCCTCCAGGAGCACCCCAATGACGGCACCCCACAGTGGGGGAACTCCTCAAAGGGCTGGAGGCAGCAGTGAAATTCTGAATTGTGTGCTGGACACATTCCCACATGACTGGCATTTCTGACCCCCGTGGAGATGCAGAGAAAAATTAGCCCTGTGCTCCAGAGCTGCTGAGACAGCCCCTCACCACAAAGGACACGACCCCAGCTTTCCCAGAGCTTTGCTGACCTCCTGTGACAGCGTGCGCCCCCAGGAGCCACTCCAGTCTCTCACCTTTGTCATTTTGTAGCAGAAGCCAGGGTCTTAGAGAAACAATGCACATACCTAGAAGATTTGCCAAAAACAAAGTGTAAGATGCTACGTAATAACCAGGGACTTCAAAGAGTGCCTCAAGAACAACACCGGCTTCTCCTCGCAACGACCCCCAGCTGCTGGGGACACACCTCCCGGCTGCCCCCGGGACACAGCAGTAAGGGGAAAGCCACCGAGGAGCCCACACAGTGGGCCACATCTGCCACCTCGGCATTTGGGAGTTCCCAGACATCCGTGCTACTCAAATGGCAACCTCAGGTCAGGTCTGGAAGTGGGCACTCGGCCACCTCACTGTGCTGCTCTGGCCCTCATCCAGACATACATGTAGGCCCAACACCCATAGACTCAAAAAATAAAAAAATAAAGCTCAATTGTGTTTCCATCTCCCCTAAGCCAAAATGTATTACTCCAACCCAAATCTCCTGACAGACGATCAGGGTTTAAGTCTAAAGCCAGAGCTCGTTAACTCACTCTAAACTGCGCCGCCTGTAGCTTTGGTCTGCCTTCCTGTAACCGAGGCCACCGCCGAGCGGCACAAGGCCAGGCTGACGGAGGTCCCCAAGTTCACCCAAAGCCCTGTCCTCAAACCTAGGCCTCACAAGACAACAATCAACAAACAGGTGCTACGGAGTCTCGCGGACCACAGAGACGTGCTGTGAGAACCGGAAGCCCGCCATGCACAGGGACGCAGAGCCTCTGCCGCGCCAGCAGACCCTGGAGAGAGCACCCAGCATGAGCGTCAGCAGGACCCCAGGCAAAGCCCCAAGGTCGCTGTGTCTCAGGGACCACTCGGTGCCCAGAGCGCTAACCTGACACTTGGCTTTCTCACACCAGGCACTCGTCCCTCGAGTCTCAGGACGCACAGGCCTACTAAGCCACTCACCCGTGCGCAGCTGCAGTTCAAGAACAGCACACCAAAGGCGTGAGTGGTAAAATTTATTCGTGTAAGCATTCAGACACATTCAGGTGGAAAGATGGTGATCGCAGGTTCTGACAGGGCCAACAGAAGGGGCCGCGCAGCACGGCCGTCGGCAGGCGCAGCGGCAGGACTCAACAGAAGATAGATGAGAGCACTTCATCTGGGAGAAACTAATAATTTAAAGCCCCGTGAGACAAGGTATGTTCCATCCGAAAACACTAAACAGTACCATCGGTGACGAGGAAGGCGGCTATGTGTACCAAAAAGGGACAAGACGTGCATCTGTGAGGCACGAACAGGGGTGCTCCACGGGGTTAATTATTATTAATGACAGACCCTGTAAATACAAAATCAGATCCAAATCACTGGTCACGGAATTCAAAATTTACATGTAATAAAGGCAAGGCAATAGACTCGAGTTCTGGCCTGTCCAATATTTACTCCACAGACACTATCTACAGAAGCACTTGGCCATGTGCACAGGGACTCCTTGTACACGCCAAAAGGGTTTCCGTAAAAATGACGCTATATACAGATCTGTACAGGGACCCACCAGAGCGACTCTCCGTCTCCCGGGGGAAGGAGCTGTCATAGAAAGCAGGGTACCTGAGGTTGCTTGTCTGCAATCGCCAATCAGTCCAAATATACATGTCAGGGCTGTGTGTTTAAAAACCTTCTTTGAATATGTGCACTATGATTAAAATTAAAAACGATAAAAAAATAAAATAATTGCTTGAAGGATAGACCCTCCCACCCCAGCTGAAAGGCTTCGTCTGGCTGTGGCACGCCGAGGACAGTCGTGGACAGGGCCGGCACCGTGGAGGGCGGCCTCACGTGGCGCCTCGTCGCAGAGTTGGCGAAGGCTCTCATTGACTTTTAAGAAGAAGGAAGATGAAGAAGAAAGGAAAAACCAAACCCAAATGCCGAAGGCCTTTCACTGAGCTGAGGTTCCGCCGCCACTCAGAGAGTACCTGGGGAGAGCAGAAAGAAACGTGAGCACAGCCTGACATCACACTTTTCAGACACCGGCAGAACAGGACGAGTGGGTCGGCAGGTGTGGTACACGAGAGCCTACAGTGACTCGGGAAACCAGTCTGCACTCAGAGCTCACAGTACACGGCAGCCAGGCAGCCTCCTGGGAGACGACAAGCGACGCCCAGGCAGGCTCGGCTTGCCTTGTCTGTGCCGTGCCTGCGGTGTGTGCCAGGTCTGCACAGGCATGCAAACATTATGCGGCCAGAGGCTGAGCCAGGAGCTCCCTCTGTTTTTCCCCACCTCACTTTTCCAGGCAGCATCTTGGCGAGAGAGCCTCCGGAACCTCTGATGGCCACGGCCACCAGCCTACCCTCCCTGGGACCCGAGTGCAGGTTCTCCTGCTTGCACAGAAATTCCCACGCCCACTGAGCTGCTCCGGCCCAGGATCTAGGACTGAAACCCGGTGTTAACCAGGACACAGCGAGTGCCCAGGGACATGGCATCCACAGGCCGAGTCCAAGCCCAGCAATTCTTTGGGGCTGAGATGTGGTGCAGCCCAGGGGAGTCATGTCCTAGCATTATTCCAACATGCTGCACAGGAGTGCCTGTGTGTACGCAGGAGCCCCTGCATGTAGCATGAGAAGGCAGCACAGCAAAAGAGATGTCAGGAGCTGGGTCATAGCTGGACAGCCTGTGCAACTGCTAAGTCTCCATTCTCTTGCTCCTGAATGCTAAAGTAAAGTGTCACAGCCAAGATTTACCTCAGTTACCCCAAAACTGACCAAATCACTGGGCCAGAAAATGGCCAAGCACCTATTTAAGGAAACTTGTCTGAAACAGTCACGCAGAGCTGCTCTTGGAACACACGCAAACGGGCCCGCACCAAGAGCCTCTTAGCAGGACAACTGAGCCATAGCGTCCAGGTCTCAGTCTCCAGAACTACAAACGCCCCTTTCTGGTTAAGTTCTTCTGTGGGCAGATGGGCTAAGACAAGCTCTGAACACACTTCAGACAGCAGTGACATCTATAGACAGCAGGACAAGCACCCCCCGGGTTAGCCACCATGGCTGTGGGAACCCAGGAAACGGAGAGCCACAGCCTTGTTTGCAGAGACAAGAGCAGGCCCACTCCGCCACCATGATGAGGGTCCGCTGGCCACGGAGGCCATGAGTGTCTGCTTGCAATGCGGCTTTGAACCGAGACGCATGGTTAACACAGAACACATGCCAGATCTCAAAGGCTTAACATCAAAGGAAACAATGCAAAATATTTTACTGGATAATTGTATACGATGACTATAAGCTGACGCAGGAAATTATCAAAGCATAACAAAATTAATTTTGCTTGTTCCTCTTTACTTTTTTGGTATAGTTTCTATGAAAATGAAGATTCCATGTGTGAGAAAACTGGAGCTCCAGCTAACAGGAGAATACTTGCCTAGCAAGCTCCAGACCAAAGATTAAATCCCCAGGTCACAAACATTCAGAGAGCAAGAGAAAAGATGCCTGAGGGGGGAGTGAGAGGGAGAGAGGGGGATGGGAGGGAGGAGGGTGAGGGATAGGCAGGGAGGGGAAGAGGGGGGGAGAGGGGGCGATAGGGAAAGGGGGGAGAGAAATCCCGCAGGAACGCAGTCTCCATGTTAAGATCTAGAGGAGCAGAATCAGGCAGCAGGTAGAGGGGCTGGCTGGCGGACAGCCGGACACCCCATCAAGGTGGAAGGAGAGCGAGGACCCCACGCCTGCAGCACAGCACCCTCCACCCGTCAGCATCAATGACAGCTTCAAAGTAAACGAAGTCGTTCTTGCTGCTCCCCCATTTCCTCCAGAGCTGGCAGAGAGGTCCAGGTGGGAGAGCAGGGTCCTCATGTGCAAGCCCGGCACACCACCTGTGCTGCTGGCAAAGCCACGCACCTACACAGCATCAGGCAGGAAGCTGTGCGCCTGCGGTCCCAGGTTCTCAGGGCTGAGTGTGAGTGTGAGTGTGTGTGTGTGTGTGTGTGTGCGCGCGCGCACACGCGGCTGTCTGTCTGTCTCTGTGTCTGGGTGCACATGTCAGTAAAAGGCATTTGTAGACATGCCTGATGACCTGCATCAGATCCCTGGATCCAAATGGCGGCAGGAGTGTCGTCCTCAAGACCTCAGAGCACAAGTGCACACTGGGGAATGCACACATATCACAGAAAGATGACACTTTAATACTCCATAAATAGAAAACAAAAAGCAGGATAGTGACAAATGAACAGTTTCTGGGTGTGGCTGTTGGTTTGCAACAAACCTCTTTTTAAATAAAAAACAAATGCCAGCAGGAGGAAATATAGAGTGCTCCTGAGCCAGGGGAACCCCAAAAACCTGCCGGGTGAGCACACAGATCGGCCTTAGGCTGGATTTCCTTTATTTCTGTAGAATCAAACCGCGCGCTCTTAAAAGAGCTTTAAAAATCTTCAAGTCTCCGCCAACAGCCTCAAGACTGGGGCCAACAGGCAAACCATCTTTGCAGTGCTGTCTTTGGCTGTGCACCCCAGCCGCCAGGCAGGGATGGGAGCTGGCTCCCTGAGGCTGGGAACAGCCACACTGGCTCCAAAGCCCATGGCATGGAGCGCTGCTTCCAAACCAACTCGAGGTGTGCAGTGTGCCTGGGGCTCCCCGCTTCAGGGACAAATGCAGCACCACACAGGCGTTTTAAGGCACCCTGCAATTACCAGCTACAAATGCAGACTTCTGTGTCCCTTCCCAGACTCGGTCTCTCGTCTGTACAATTCAGGAAGAAACCCTCCTTCAGGGGCTTCACAGTAAGCCCCTGGTCTGGGGAACAGCAACAGACAAGAAGGAAGCACCCAAAGGTACCAAGATGTGGCAGCTTCCTAGTCCCGACGCCATGCCAGCACCACCAGGCACCCCTTCCACACCCAGCCCCAGCCGGCCAGTTACCTCTGCAGCCGCTGCACGAGCTGTGCCACCATGGTGTCGGAGATGCCAGGACAGGCCTCTTCTGCCAAGTAGATGGCTCCCCGCAGCTCCTCTATGGACCCCGAGTTCCCTCCACACGCCTGGCTCTTCTCCTTCAGCTAAAATACAAGAGCGGGATGAGCGCCCACCTGGGGAGGGTGCCCATCTTGGGTCTGTGAACATGACAGAGGGGCCATGTGACTCCTCCAGACCAGAGCTCCGGCAAGCGACTTTGCACACCTCCACGCTGAGCCTGCTGCTGTAACCCTGTGCAGCCTCCATGTCACCCGGCAAGCGTCACCAGTGCCAACCACGTGTGACCCTGGTGTCACCTAGCAGCTGTGGTGTGCTCACCGAGGCTTCACTCCTCATGGTTGTGGGTTGGGCGTAACTTCAGACACATACACTCTGAGATCAAGAGTGCTGTCAAACGCTCTCACAGAGACACGGGGCAGCGAGAGCGTCCTAACAGGCATCCCAGGCCTGCAGGCCAAAGTCCTGAGGGGCCACAGCAGGGCACAGTCCAAGCTCTGCTCTTCTGCTTCTCAGCAAACATTCCAGAGAACACTGAGCTGTGGCTCCGCAGCGGGGCCCCCAAGAGCAGCAGGCTCCTTACTGCCTTCTGTGTCCCCCAAAGCAGAACCAAAGGAAGGCAGGGGACCAGGGCCTCCTTTACCAGGACTGTGTTACGTTCGTGAGCTCATGTCACTAAGGTGAGCGGTCACCCTGGGGTGAGCAGGACACAGCGGAACACGACAGCCTGGCCTGAGTGCCCTCCCGTGTGAGCAGATCGATTGTTATCTAAGATAGCGAGCGCTGCCACCTAGGATCCCAGTGACAGCGAACACTTACACAAAACAAAACAAAAAGGACTTTTTTGCTGCTGCTTCTCTAGAACTTCCAGAACATTACCTCATTTCCGTGGATCTGAGGCAGTTACTGGGGAATGATTTCAGCGATTTAAGCCCAGAAAAAACCTACACAGCCAGCCAGGTGTGGTGGCACACCTGTGATCCCAGCACTCAGGATGAGGCAGGCAGATCTCTGTGAGTTTGAGGCCAGCCTGGCCTACAAAGCGAGTCTAAGACAGCCAGGGCTACACAGAGAAACCCTGTCTTGAAAGACAAAACAAGAACCACCACAATTCTACTCGGCCTCTAACAAACCAGGCCCCACACAGCTTTTGGCAGCTGCCTGGCTTGTGGGAGGCAGGGCCCAGGGCCACAGTGCAGACACTGAGCCTGCCTCCAACGCAGGTTTAGGGCCCCAACTTGTACTGGCAGCCCCCCAAAGGACAGCCCTGGCCCCCTTTTCCCTCCTCACGCCTCCCAAGAACAGCAGCCAGGGATCTTACCTCAGCAAACAGAGGCGAAATAATGGTGGGCAAGCACTGAGAGAAAGGCCTCTTTGGAATGTCTTTCATCTTGGGGAAGAAAAAGGGGGCAGCCATTAGACAGACAGCACTGAGCTGGGCAAGGGCTCTAGGAAGGCCTTCCCTGAGACACATCTCCTGTTCACTGTCGCTGGGAGACCATCTACAAAGGGACCCAACCATATCGCTGGGAATCCTGGGAACCCTGAGTGATGCTAGGAGTGGGCACTGTGGAGATGACCGCGCTCTGCAGGTGTCTGAGGAAACCCTATGGGCTGAGGCAGCTGTTCCACGTGGCACTGCCCGGGGCCCAGGGCCCACCCGGACCACCTCTCAGGCTGAAGGAGCCACAGAGCTGCCAGCAGTCCACATGGCCTGACAAACGATCCCACTGAGCCTCACAAATTTAAGTGGGCATAAACCACCTCGTCAAAAGGAAGTCTACATTAAGCACCAAAACAGAGACTGGTTTCTAAGGGCCTGAAGTAAAAAGTCCCTATAAACCCAGGTGTCGAGTAGAGCAGCAGGCGCTCAGATGTGTTTCACATATGAAACTTCACTTCCACAGCCCACTCGACATTGGCCAAGGTCAGGAGGGCCCAGTGTGACTCAGGGTGAGGGCACAGCCTTTGTCAGAGTAGCACATACTGTCTTCAGACTCTAATCTGTCAGTTTCTGGAGGACAAAAGCCACCAAGGAGCTGCTGAAGGTGCCCCGTCCACGCCACAGTAGGCGTTCCCTGAGCCCCAAGCATGGACCCCGGGGCAACTGGCTGGCGAGCAGGGGCGCTGTGCACCATCGCTGTACCTTATTTCTCTCCAAGTCTCCCGGCTGGAGAGCCCCATTCTCCAGACTCGTGGGGTCTTTCTCCCGGATGGTGAAGATCCAGTCCCCTGAGTCGCTGCCTCCGGACGCCTGGCCATCCGTCTCCCTGGCGAAGGAATGCCCAGGAGTTCACCAACATGGGCCAGGTTGGAGGCCACCCTGCCCAGCCCACTGACCCCAGCCCGCCCACAGCTGCCCCTGCCCAGCCTCGCACATCACAGAAACGTGAATGTGCTGGCAGCGTCCATCAGCACTCTTCTGTGCCTGCTCTTCCTCCACAGAAAGGGGCCACGTCCCTTCTAAGCACCCATCTGCCATGACTCTCACTCTTCCGTGGGCCTAAGTTTCTTCTCAGCCACGGCTACCCACATGAGAAAGCCCAACCCAAAGAAGAAGAAGGCCAGCAGCGCGGCCTCATGGCAGGCACGAGGGCTCAAGGTAACTTACACATCTGAGTCCTCCGAGCTGGAGTCATCGTGGCTCTGCTCGGCCTTCCACCGCTTGTACCTGTCGATGAGCTCCGTCAGGTATGACGTCTTCTTGGCGTTGCGGATTATGAATTTGTGCTTCAGTAACTCCTTAGCAGTGGGCCTCTGGGAAACACACATCAAAACGATCACAACACAAGTTCCTTCTTTATCTTTACTCCACCTGAGCGGACAAGACTTCTGGACCACCACACCACATAGCAGGGTCAGCTCTACTTCCGAGCCTGCTCCTCCCCGGGCTTCTTCTAGACACCACTCCCTATCATGCCCAGTCTGCAGGCAGAGAGAACGTGACGGTTTTCACCAAGGACTGAACCACTTACAGAACCATTCAATCAAAGCTGGAGTGTTCCTACCAAGTCCACAGAGAACCGCACAGGGCTGCCTGAGCAAGCTCGTCTCTCGGCACGGCCAAGTGCTGACTGAGGGAAACGAGAATTCCTGGTGACTTCCTGCAGTGTTGGACTAACACCCTAAATTAAATGAGCTCACTGTCCCCCTCATCCTCAGAAGGCTGGGCAGGAGGCAGGAGAGACCTGGTGCCTGGCAGCCTGCCCAGCTTTCCTCAACATCACTCCCAATGCAGAAGAACAGGTGTGGGAGCCCATCCCCACCCTGGTGATGCAGGCCAACAGCCTGATCCCCAACCGGGCATGACACAACTCCAACAAATGGCACACCGGAGTCTAAGCCAGTGGCCTCCCCATCTACTGGAGCAAAGCTCCTGACACAGCGGTCCACCCAGGGACGGATAGCAGAAACAGCGCTACCAGCCAGGCACACCGCAGCTCACCTGCTCCCAAGAATCAAGGCGTTTTCCTCGTCGGGAACACCATTCTCTTCTAGCCGAAATCTTGAGAACACAGTGACCCCAACGGTCCTTCCCCCTCCCTACCACCACCTCCAACACTCCAAACACCCCAAATGCATCCATTCTCAGCTTTACAGCCTTCACATGTGAAGGTCCAGGGACAAGCCAGGGAAAAGTAGTGCATGCTGGGAATAAACCAGTACCGGACACAGTTTAGAAGCAGGTATGTGCCACTTGGTTCTCTTTTCCTTGATGCTTTGAGGCAAGCCCCACGATGTAACAAGCAAACAGCCGGACCGGCACACAAGACCATACCCACCACCAGACACCTGAGCAGTAACCAATGGCTGACGTGCTGACCTCAACTCGCAGCCTCGGTGGAGCTTAGAAACTGTTGCCTGCCTTTGTAATTCCTTTGGCAGAACTGGTGCCCTATTGGGGAACTGCATGATGCTCTTGTAAAATTTCTCTTTTCTCACCCTTTATGACAGTTCACAAGCCCCTACCTGAGTGTTCTCCAGGCTCAGTGACTGGCACAGCTAACTGCGCACAGAAACCCAAACCAAAGAGGGTCGCAGGCCCCGTTCTCAGCTAAGAGTGGCTGCTGCAGGGCTCCACCACCGAGTAAACACCGAGACGGAGCAGGGCGGTGGCTGGCCCCTGCACCTTGCTTGGTTCCTGGCACACCACAACTGGGAACTGGAAGTTTACTTCCTTTGAGGCCAGCCTCTGCTATTACTGAAGTTGCTTTCCAGTTTTACAGCCTGATCTTTCTCTATAAATATCAGAAATTAATGATTCTATCACTAACACCAAGGAGAATATTCTTCAGGCTCAATGAGGTATGAGATGCTAGAAAATCTAAATCAAAATAATTACATCTTAAATCCCTAAAGGGTAAGAGGATAACCAAAAAAAAAAAAAAAAAAAAAAAAAAGCAAGCAATTAAAGAAATGGGGCCAGGCAGTGGTGGCACACACCTTTAGCCCCAACACTCGGGGTAGAGGCAGGGGCAGATGGATCCTGTGAGTTCAAAGCCAGATTGGTGTACATAGTTCCAGGACAGCTAAGGCTACACAGAGAAGCCATGTCTCAAAAAATAGGTTTGGACAAACAAAACGAAGAAGAACTGGAACTCAGAGAGAGGCCACAGAGAGAGCTGTGACAACACCTGAGGCTACTGCGAGAGAACAAGCAGCAGGCGAGAGCACAGGAGGCACTCACAAAGCTGGGCTCCTTGTTGAGGCAGGCCTCCACGAACTCCTTGAGCGGCTTGCTGTAGCTCCCCTCCAGCGTGGGGGGGTTGTTCTTTGGGATGAGGAACAGCACCTTCATGGGGTGCAGCTCCGAGTGCGGTGGCTCTCCTTTGGCCAGTTCAATCGCCGTGATGCCAAGGGACCAGATGTCTGCCTGCAAGGACCAACATATGGTTATAGCTTAAGCCAGCATGCATTCAGGCGAGCCCCGATGGGGGGGGGGGGGGGGAGCACAGGGCGGGGCGGGGGTGATGGTGTGAGCACCTGGGGGAAAGAGAAGGTGTGAGTTTAAGCCTCAGGTTCTGAAAAGGAACATTATCTTGAACTAAGAATCAGCAGCCCTTGGCACATCACAGGAAACAAGGGAGCAGACTGGCTGTAGCTAACAGCTCTCCCTGCACTGGTGACCGTGACCACCACCTCTACAGTGGGCAGCGCTCATGTGTCAGGCAGCTCTACAATGGCGTTTTATGACAAGAGACAGGCGGCTTTCCCTAACCTATCCCCTGACCTTCGTGAAGGAGGTAGAAGGAGGTAGTTAAGGAAGGGTATACAGGAGGCTGGAGAGATGGCTCAAAGGTTAAGAGCACTGGCTGCTCTTCCAGAGGTCCCAAGTTCAATTCCCAGCAACCACATGGTGGCTCACAACCATCTGTAATGGAATCTGATTTCCTCTTCTGGCATATACACGTAATAAATAAATCGTCAAAAAAAAAAAAAAAAAAAAAAAAAAACCACACACACACAAAAAAGAAGGGTATACAGAGGCCTCCCACTGTGCCCAGAACCCCAATATGCCAACCAAACAGGGCTTGCCTACATGCAGACACTAGAGCTGGCAAGGCTCTGCAATGCCAAGATGTGAGCAGTAGAAGGGGACCGTGCTGACTCTGGAGCCTTCCCCAGGCAGTGTGCCTGGCAACTGTCTTGTGGCTCCGGGCAGCCACGGCCAGCCATGCGCTGCAGGCAGCCTGTGCCGCCAGAATGTGCAACAGGAAAAAGCAAGCACGTGGGGGAGGTGGGTGAGCGATGCATCTTGGCTCACTAATTCCAACACACAGGGCATCTCTCAAGGAGTGCAATTCTTTAATACCGAGTAATTACTGAGCTTCTCCAACTGCTGAAAACATAACACTTCCATAGCTACTTTATCTGACTTAGGATCTGAACTCCACATGTCCCAAATGACGGCGCGGCTCCCAAGGCCCATTAATCTGTAAGAGTCTCTATTGCCAATTCCCCAGGACCTTTAAGAAAAACATCAAGTCCTTATACTGTTTATAGCTTCCCTCTGTCCTGGCTGAAGGCATCTTGGAAGGGACCCTCAATCAAGAACATGTCCCCATCGGCCTGGCTGGCATGGCAAGCCTAGGAGGCATGCCTTTCCCTGATTAATGTTGATGTCAAAGGGCCCAGACCACTGTGGGCAGTGTCACCAGGCCTGCACAGGGCCTGGGGTGTATGCGGAAGCCAACTAAGCAAGCCAGGAAGCACGAGTCAGCAAGCAGCTTTCCTCCGTGCTCTCTGCTTCAGTTCGTAGCTCCAGGTCTTTGGCCTGAGCTCACGAAGGACTGTTTTAAAGTGAAACGCACTTTCTTCCCCAAGCTGCTGCGGTCACGCTGTGCCTCAGCGCTGAGCCTGACTAGGAACAGCACCTGATGCATTTCTCTCTGTTCCCAGCCTAAGGGCTGGAGGCGCAGGCAGCCTCAGCACTAGGACAACAGCCTTTCCAGCTGCCCGAGCCCCTGTGCTCAGCACTTCTGCACACACCGGATCCCCTAAACGTGCAGGTACGAAAGGAGACAAGAGTCTTCGAACAGCTTTTACAGCAAGCAGGACAAGGCCAACGAAGAACAAACCGGGCTGGCAAAGATGGAGGGCAGCGGGGGAGGGCAGCCTCCGCCCTGGGCAGGTCTTCAGGCGACCAGGAGACTAGCACAATCTCTGGTCCTTTAGCCACCTGGAGTGGACTCCCTTGGCGTTCTCCTGGGACCTTGTGAGTACCAGAAATCCTTACCACAGTGCCCAGTCAGAGCCACGAAGGCACAAGAGGAAGAGAATGCGACACGAGGAGGAGCAGGAGCGGCAGGAGCACTGGCTGAGGCAGGCTGGGCTCTCGCTGGCCCAGTCTGTGTGACTGCCCTCCGGCAATGGCTCTCCAGCCAGAGCTCAGCTCAGCACAGAGCAGGCTCCACTCACCCTTTAAAGGGCTGGCGGTGGAGGTCTGTGTTTCAGGTCAGCTGTGTCCTTACTCTGCCTAGAGGCCTGAGCACTTGCTTTTGGAAGTGGAGACTGGGAAAGAGGCAGAGGCAGTAAGGCTGCACGCGCTGGGCCACCTTCCTCAGGCCCACGGACATAATGTGAGCAACGAGGAGCCCCTGGGCTGTCAAGCAACTCCAGATCCATGTCTAGACAGTCCTGAACACAACCAAGAACGACCTATAAGCTGGCACTATGTAGACTGGCGGAGCCAGAGGAACTGCAAGTTCAAGACTACTAGAGGCTACATAATGGAACCCTATCAAAACTAAACCATGATATATCCAAACCCAGCCACCCAGGTGACAATGTGTGGCTGTGAAACTTTAAGGCCTGGCGTCCCCACGTCCTTCTGGTTGAGCTTGGCTGAGCTACCTTGCACCCAGGACCTGCAGCACAGTCCTGTTTGCAGCTGACGCCACTGATAAACCCAGACAAGGTGACAGAACATCGTGAACACCAAGCCATTTGGTCAGAAGCCAAAAACTCACCCAAATGTGCGAGACAGGGATGGCTCCCTAACACGCCAGGGCCAGGCAGACTTAGGCCGACCGCAAGCACACCTGTCCAGTGCTACGTTTAGGAACCATGGCGCCTAACGGCTCCAACAGACACCAGGAAGGGTGTCATGGACTGTCAAGGACAGTCATGTCCAGAACAGCGTAAGTGGAACCACACCAAGGAGGAGGCGTCCGTGAGGACAGGGAGACCAGAACAGCTCTCTGGGAAACAAGACACAGCGTGGCCTCTCTGAGAAGCTGAGCTCCTACACAACTCAAGAGAGCAAGCAGAGGAACCTGGATTATGGGCTGTCTCCTACCATAGTGCAGACAGCGAGTGGAGGACACGCACCACCTTTCCACAGGACAGAACTCAGGAAGAGGGCAGGAGAAGGCAACAGCTGTGGAGGGAGCCATTTTCCAGAAGACAAGGAGTCGGCAAGCAACAAATGCAGACCAGAACTGACTGACCTGGAGTCATGTGCTGCTTGCTGGATGACAGCCCAGAGTTCCCATCCAAGCTACCAGCCCACCAGCTTTACTGTTGAGCTTGCCAAGCAACTAGAAGGAGGGATACCCGTCTCTTCACCCACAATGACATGCCATAATGGCACATACCTTACAACAGTGATCCAAGGTTTGCATACACCATTCAATGAGGAAGAAATCTGCTACACAGAGGAGGTCCAAGAAAGAAAAGAGAAGGGGGGCGTGGGGTGGGGTGGAAGGAAGGACAGGTGGGCAGAGAGACAGGCATGCTAATACACACTTGTAATCCTAACACTTGGAAGGCTGAAGCAGGAGGACAGGATCACCAGTTTGTCAGACTTAGGCTACACAGCAACTATTTTCAAAGTGGGGGGAAACTAAGTTAAAATTTTTTTGAGGGGCTCAGCACAAGAGAAGAATTTGAGTTTGGTTCCCAGCAACCATGCCAGGCAGCTCGTACCGCCTAACTCCAGCTCTGCGGTCTACTGCTCTGGCCTTCCATCAGCACTCACATGCCCACAGTCACAAACACAAACTTTAAACAGTGAAAGTAAGAAAACAAAACAATGTTCAACCTAGGAACATTCTTTTGTTTGTGCCTTAAAGTTTAGGGCTCAGGAAAGCCAATTCTGTGCTAGATATGAACCGGAGCAGACAGATTGGGCTGTTTTTAGTTTATCCTACAAAGTTTACAAACCACAGAACCAAAGGAAAGGGCAAGAAAAGTTAGGAACAGAAGCTGACATGGAAACGGAGCCTGAGTGCCGACTCCTGATAACTGGAAGCCTCTGGGAATGAGGATGCTGAAACTGAAAAGAGAATAAATGCTTACAATCCCTGAAGAACTATGCCTGTCCGGTTCTGCTGTGGGGCTTACTGAGGAGTTTCTTTTTCTAGATACCCTCACACAGCAGCCCAGGCCCTGCCCCTCCTCCACTGTGACAACAGTCCTCCAGCCTCCATGGTACTGTGCATAGCCGCAGAGCCACCTCCAGGACCTACCCTGGAATGTAAGGAATGTTGCACAATCAAAATCAAAAGGGACAAAGGTCAGGGTGTGGCGGGCCTAGAGCTTGGCCCTCACCTTGGAATCGTAGGCCGACTGCTTGATGACCTCGGGTGCCATCCAGAAAGGGGTGCCCACGAAGGTGTTCCTCTTGATCTGAGTGTCCGTCAGCTGGCCAGCCACGCCGAAGTCAGCCAGCTTCACCTCTCCGTGTTCAGAGAGCAGAACGTTGGCCGCTGCGAGACAACCAAGGCGCCATTATGCACAGTCACTGCCAGGGTCACTCTTCCCAGGTGCCCTGAGGTTTCCTAATAACAGCCCAGCCTCAACCCAGAGGCAGAGTGAGCTGGTGAGCCATGGAGAGCACAGCAGTGCAGTGGGCTCTGCTGTGCCAGGCCTTACCTTTAATGTCTCTGTGGATTTTCTTCTCCGAGTGCAGATAATCCAGGCCTTTCAAAATTTCCCGCAGTATGGTAGCGATCTGAATCTCATCTAAAGGGCCAGGTTCTAACTAACAAGAAAAGAAGGTCATTGGCCACTCAGCAAATACGTTACACAGGGCTTATGAACAGAACCAGGGCTAAACAGATAAGATGGCTGATGTGGAAAGACATCTTCACAGAAAGCAGAAACCTTGTCTAAATCACGGTAATCTGTTAAAGGGCCAGGCATCAAGAGGCATGCATGCCTTCAGTACTAGCATTTGGGAGGCAGAAACAGTTCTCTGCGAGTTCAAGGGCAGCAGGGTCTACAAAGTGAAACCCTGTCTCAAGAGACAGAAAGACTCATCCCATAAATTCTGCTGCTCTGCAGAACTGTCCAGTGCAGCCACAGCCGTTGTGAGAGCTGCTGTTCTGGAGTGCCAATACCAGCTCACTCTAGACCCAACACGCCACCTTGTTTTCAAGACTATGCTGTATATTCAGTTGAAGGTTGTCAAACACCTCTGCCTGACTAAGTACACCATTTACACAGCAAAGCTCCTCACAACTAGATTCCAAGGCTGGCCTGGGGCTCTCTGGCAGCAGACTGCCTGACACCATTCCCCGTCACGGCTTCCCGCTCCTCCTCTCATTTCCCTGCGTGTCCACAAATGCAGCCCCGGAGGCTGGGCTCCATGAGAGCTACTGTGCCCTGACGGGGCTGTAGGATCCAGCTGCCCTGGCCAGCGGAGCTCTTCAGCAAAGCCGGGGGCAGCAGCAGGATGGTCACCTCTGCCCTTGGGGACCCCAGACGACTCAACAGGCACACGCTAACTCCACCTCCATCAGACAGACAAGAAATAAAGCCAAGGAAGTAGCCCTCAACCGTACAGCTCTCCCTAAAATGCATAGAGATATTCTTAAAATAATCCTGATTATTTTCAATATTCAAACATAATTACCACACCCCTTACTGAAGTACTCCCCCTCTGAGGGTTTGGAGACAAAAGTGAACCGAGATAAAGGACGGACAGACACATCCAGCAGGAGGTGGAAGAACAGCAGTAACAGGCTCAAGACAAGACATCAGGGTCCTGCTCAGCCTGGAGCCACCCACCACTCCCAGGTAAGCACGTCCCTAAAAGGAGTGCTGAAAGGATCAAAATAACCTTGTAACCTATGTTTCTTTAATTGCCTTATAACTTATATTTGCAAGTTTTAGGCCCATGTTAATTAAAGCCTCTTAGTGCTTCTCCAGAGAGCTGAGGAATGTAAAAGTTCCTGACATTAGCCATCTGTGAGGGTAGAGATAAGGAAGAGAACAAGCAGAGATCTCTACTAAATGGAGAGAAAATCACCGGCTGGCGCCTGTGAGATGAGCTTTGCTTGGAAACTGGGCCAAATGGCCCCAATCCTTCTCCTGACCTTTGATCCAAAGCCTGTCACCCCCACTCCTCAGAACAGACACGGTATGAGTTAATCACTCTCCCACCTTTAACTGTGGCTGTATCTCATATGGCAGGAAATTCCAAACTGACTTGAAGATCAGGGCTGACCAGACCTAAGGGTGCCCAGAACCAACCAATTATTTTAAAAGTTAAATACTTCATCCAATCATGAATTCTAGGCAACCCCTAGAATTCCCCGCGCCTTGTCTTTTAAAAACCTAAGGTCTTTGTCTCCCGGAGCCACTCCTTGCTGACCAGCAGGGGTGACCCCATTGTGCAATGGACAGAATGAACCTCTTGCGATTTTGCATCGATGGATGATTAGTCTCCTGGGTTCTCTTCATACCTTCTTATATTTAGGCTCTTGCTGGGCCTAACAGTGCCACATCTCTTCATGGAGATGTTTCCCTGAACGGTGGGTCCCAAGACTCACCAACCACACGCACAGTCTAAATCAGCTGGTTCTGCATCTTCCTCCAGCTGTGGTTTCTGAAACTGCAGGCATCTATTCAAGTAAATTCAATTATCGTAGTGATGGGAATGAACACTGAAGCATTTACAGACACAGAACCGCTGCTCCAAAGGGCAGTCAGAAAGACAGGGCCTACAAATATCTCTGTATGTGCCACAAATTAAACTCCCTGTGGATAACAGTAATTCTAACTGCACAACAGGAAGTAATTTGCTCCACTCCTCTCCAACCCCCAGAGTGAAAGGGGAAGAGTTAGGTTTTTGTGCAGTGTGGATATTTATAAGGATCATAAAATACACTCAGCTGATTTTTCCCATCATAATAGCACAACTTAGCTTTCTGTCATATTAACTTGTTCCTGAAATCTTCACTGTGAACGGTTTTAAACAATCTCCATAGTTTACAAAAATGGACTTTCCTCAATTAGTGCATTAGTCTTCTGGAGAGATGCAGTTTTAGTTTCTCCTCTGAGGAAACCACACACTGATACTGTAAAAGGGGGTGCCCTCAAAGAGATGGGGACCTTTCTTAGAGGAGTGCGGTGGGCCTCCCTTCCGCTCCCACCCACGCCTCTCAGCAGGGAAGGAAAGGCTATCACCTGGGCCGGCTCAGAGGACGGGTTCAGCCTATCACCAACCTGCCGGGCACAGGGCTGGGAGGGTGCTAGTGCATCAACGCTGGCACTTCTGTGCGGTGTGCATGCTGTGCCAGCTTGTGCCTGTGTTTGTGTGTTTGTGCATATGTGCATGCATGTGTGTATGGGTGTGTTCGGAGTCCAGCAATCGACATCAGGTATCATCTGTAATCCCTTTCTCCACCAGGTTCTTTTGCCCTCAGGCCTCTCAATGGCTAGACCAGCTGATGAGTGAGCCCATGCTCCTCCTGTCTGCGCCTTGCCATCTTCAGGTAGAGACATGCATCTCAGGTCTTCATGCTTGTATAAGCAGCACTTGACCGGCCCCAGCTGTGTTACTTTCAATGCACGGACAGAACGGAAACAGAAAGACAAGTACAGGCCCAACCCCGTCACAAGATGATGGAAGCCACACATCTACCAAGCACTCCCAAAGCCCAGTGTGAACCAGCATCTCTCCCGGCTGTGGGCCGATGTGGAAAGCAGTGGGGGAAGTCGGGAGCAAAGAACATACTGGTTGGGCCTGCTCCACTGAGGCACCAAGCCTGGCAAGAGCAAGGTGGCCAAGTGCAGCAGCCTGCCTGGGGCCCATCTCCAACACCTAAGGCCTACTTCAGTCACTGCAGCTCGTCTCTGACCCAGGGAACAAAACTCCACCTGAAACGCAAAACCAAGACACAGGGCCGAGGAGACAAACTGGAGTACTTGCTGCTCTTCTAGAGGACTCGGCTTCCCTCCCCAGCGCCCACACTGAGGCTCACAGCTGCCCGCAACTGCAGTCCCAAGGGACCCAGAGCCCTCTTCTGAACCCTGCAGGTACAGAGGGGCTGGCTGACTGACAGGCAGGATCCACACCCACACAGAAGAGAAAGGAAAAGACATGACGGCTGTTAGCTAGAGGAGCTAACAGCTCCTCTACCAGAAGCTGATACAGCTGGTCGGAAAAATACCCTAGCCAAGGGCTCTAGATAAAATAACTCCTTAGTTCCAGACAAAAGCCTTAACTGCTGCTACAGCTTAGTTTAAAGGTTAACAACGAAATGACCCCTCCCCCAGTGGCCTCAGAGGCCACTGTAACTCTAAGTTCTGTGTAAGAAACAGAAATAGGTTAGGAACAGCTGCGTGCTTCCTAAAGGAAGAGTGAAGTGGGGCCAGAACTCCTGTTGGAGCAGTGAGACCAGGCAGAGCTGTGTGCCATAGGCAGTGATACTTACCAGATCCAGGGCAGAGCCTCCGCCAAGGTACTCCATTATTATCCACAGCTTAGTATCCTGCAGGGCAGAGACGGGGGAGTTAGCGTCACAGCAGAAGTGGACAGTAGCCACGTCAATGAAAAGACTACTTTGCCATTACTTTAGACCTCCATTCTCTAAGCACATACAAAACAACGCACGGAACACCTCTACACACAGCACCCTCCTGCCCTGTCCTGAGGTAGGAGTGGCTTGGAGTGGCAGGAGAACAGGATTGAGGGCATTTCCATCTGGGTGTCCCTCACCTCGGGCCGGCCCAAGCACCTGGAGCCAAGCCATGACTTGTGTACCACACAGACAGGAAGAGCACACTTCCCACCATCATCACCAGGCCCCTAACCCTGACAGCCCAGCCTCCCAGCCCTGTGATGTGAGGACCCACGAAATGATGATGCGCACGCATTTTATAAGAAAGCAGTTTGTTGAATGGAGGTGGAGGAAGAGAGGAGGGCGAGACAATATGGGGGAAGGGAGGGGACACCCCAACAGAGAAAGGGGAGAGGGCAAGAGCACGAGAGATTAAGAGGGCAAAAGAGAGACAAAGTGGCAGGCTGATCCTTTTTTGGAGCAGCTGAACCTTGCCTGCCAGATGCAGCTACCTGGCGGGCGACACGATGACATCTTATAGGTTGCTAGGCAACCCAGAAGCAGGCTGCCTAAATACTAAAAGAACTCAGACAATTTCTGATCTCCTTCTCCATGGGATTATCCCACATTTTGGAATCCCTACCTCCCGCCAGTCAGACAATAGTCCTGGGTTCACGTCTCAGGTTTTCCGGACCTAATCTAAAGCCCTTAATATTCCTTGGTATTTTTATACCCCATACCATCCCCCCAGTCCTCAGGAAAGATAGGACGAACTAACCGATCCTTAAAAAAAAAAAAAACCCTTGTTAAACTATCACAACAGCTTCACCTCGATTGGGTAAAACTCCTCTTCCGGCCCTTTTCAGGCTACAAGCTCCTCCCCCCCACCTCTGTCCATCTCGCCATTTGAGCTCATGTATGGAAAATTGGTCCTAACTCCTGGTCTTTCAGCTAAATCCTTTCCTCTCCCTGACCACCTACTTACTCCTTACTCTGGTCATCTCCGCTCTCTTCTATGGGTCTTTACTGACCACTGTTTACCACAGCCACACACTAATGCCTGTCCATCTCCTATTAACATCGGGGACCAGGTCCTTCTCTCCCCTCTAGACCAAAGCCCCCTATCTCTTCTAAATGGCAGGGCCCTTTCAAGGTGATTCTTGTGACCCCAACAGCTGCTAAGCTTGAGGGCTTCCCTCACTGGATTCATCTATCCCGCCGCAAGCCTTTTTTCACCCCCTCTCCTCAAGATAATGCCCCCTCCTACATAGCAACTCCAACAGACCCTGCTCCCTCAAGCTCCAGAAGACGCCAAGATCAGCCACCCTGTCTCCAGTTCCAGAGAAATGAGGCCTCGCTACAGCAGCTGTGTTCAACCCTATTGGGTTGGGTATGTATTTTTCCTCCTCTCTCTCTTGCCTGTTTCTGTCCAAGGTAATTCCTACATATAGAGATTCAAGATTCAAGAAACCATCATTGATAATAAACAGTCTCTACAAATAGGGCCGGGAAATTGCTCTATGGGAGGCTGTCAGGAGCTGATTGAAATAGCCATCACCCCCACATCCATCCCTCCTCTCTTATTTGATAGAATTTTTGTTTGCTTCCTCTTTGGTCAAACAAAAGATTATTGCAAAAAATGGCCAGACAGATATGGAGGCTGCCCATACGGTATTGTCAAATCCATACACCAGCACAGAAGAAGCTTCTTCACCTGTACAAAAAGACTCTCTACTTATACATCCGAGACCCTTGGGATCCCAGACAGGAAACAGGCATCGCTGGAAAACTCTACCGCTGCTACACACCCAATCTACAGATAAGTACCATCCATATCAGAGAAAATATGCCCCAATTACCCAATCCCTGGGGATGGGAGAAGTAGAGAATTAAACACTCCTCTAAGGTCATTACCTCTTTAACATCCCCTCTCCTAAATAATACAAACCTGTCATTTTGTCTCCTACTTCAGACTCTGAACTCAGCCTATAAGCTCCTCAATGTGACCCAACGGGGCCATTTTAAAGCTTGTGGCTGTGTCCCACCTGGGACCAACTCAGAACTACCGCTGACACCTTCTCCGGTGACTCTGTCAAGTAACCTTACTCCACCATTCACTAATTGCCCTGACTCTGATGTTGCCATAACCCCCTACCTTTTTCACATCACCCTCTTTGGCATGGCAAGCTGTTTCAAGGCATCCAGGACACACTCTGTAGGAAGGCTAAGTTTTAGAGTGTAATAAAACTATAATCCTTGATACATCTCAATCCCAAAGCCCTGCTACTAATAATACCTTGATTCTTTGTAGACTACCATCATCTACTGCTAACAATACCTCGATTCTTTCTAGGTCTACTATCGTCTGCCTGCTGGCTGGTCAGGAGTTTGCACGCTGGTGCTCCTCTTCTCTGAGCGTGGGTGATAAATGGAAAGGAGCCCTTACCAATCCTGGTCGTGGACTCAGCAGCTGCCCAGCAGGAGAAGAGGGCAATTCAAGTCTTGCCCCTTCTGGCTGTTGCAGAAATCACAGCAGCTGTCAGGACCGAGACAGTAGGACTAGCCACTTCACTAACTTTGCATTATCAGCCTTCTTCCCAGTTCATCCAGGACCTCTAGCAAGTGGCTCAGACAATACTAACTCCCCAAGGACAGATCGGCTCGATGGCAGCAGCAGTACTTCAAAACTGAGGAGGACTGGATCTCCTCACAGCTAAAGAAGGTGGCCTTCCAGGGACTGTCTCTGACATGAACTCAGTGGCTGGCTTTGCCCCCCACCCCCAGGGAGGAGCAGCCTTGCTAGGCCACAGAGCACACAGCAGCTAGTCCTGATGAGCTAGGGTCAGATGGAAAGGGAGGAGGACCTCCCCATCAGTAGACTTAGAGAGGTGCAGGGAGGAAATGAGGAAGGGAGGGTGGGATTGGGAGGGAATGAGGAAGGGGCTACAGTTTATTTACAAAGTAAATAAACTATAGTTAAAAAAAAAAAAAAAAAAGGTGGCCTTTGCCATCTTCCTCCAGGAAAGCATAGTAAAAGACAAAATCCAACAACTCCAGACAAATCTACAAAAGCGAAGAACAGCTGGAGGCTCTAGCTCTTAGGTCTTCGAGAATCCCATATGGAAATAGATTCTGCCCTTCCTCACACCTCTTCCGCTGTCTTTCTGCTTTTGCTTTCTGCAGCCTGCTTTATTAACTTCTCTACATTCCTCTAACAACAAATACAGAAATTCTTAACCAAACCACTAATCAGTTACTCCTACAGGATTATCAACCTCTGCCCACAGAACCAGATGACAATGACCTTCCAATCAACCCTGATGGTGGGAACCAGCTATACCCTGAGAATGACAATGCCCCTAAGCAGCAGGAAGTAGCTTGAAGAGCAAAGGTCGCCCCTATGTCCTCCCCACCATCACCCCTTTCCTAGCTCCTTTTTAATAAAACAAAAAGGGAGGAATATTGGGACTCGTATGCAGGCATCTCTACGGCCAGCCCGAGGGACCTGACAAATGGGACATCAGGCATCTATGAGGCCACCTATGGACCACCTGAAACCACCTGCACATGCTCTGGGTCACCTTATAAGAGAACTCGCACCACCCTCTCTCCACGCCCCCTCCTCCCCCACCCAGGGACGTCTCTGTGACCCCCTCCTCCTTTCCCTAATAAAACCTCCCACGTGGAAACCTAAGGCAGCCTGGGACCCACTCCTACCAACAGGCCGCCAGCTTCCAACACGCCGAAGTCAGCAAACGCTCTTTCTGGCCCTGCTTTACCAGTGTGTGGCTGCTCTTCCAGGTCTCTCTTAAAGCTACCCTGCCCTCACAGCTCCCCGAGTTCTGTGTAAGGACCTGCACACATTTGGTATCACGTGGGTTCTGGCCTAAACCTAAAGCAACCGTCTCCATTGCTCACGTCGTTATGGGAGCTTTTGTGCTCCCTGGAGTTGGGGTGAGGGCAGACTTATCAAACTAGCCTCTGGGCTCTTGTCCTCCAGCACAGAGCTGCTCGGTCCTCAAAGCCCCAGCGAGGTCCCCTGCACAGCGGGCCCAGCATGTGGCTCCCACCACAAGGCCTGTGGTCACGGTGGGAAAATTCACCTGTCTTCCTTGACCTAAACCAACCACCGCCTATGTCTGCTATTCATTGTAGATCCATTTCAACAAGGCAGCAAACAAGCACCAGGCATCTGGCAGCACAGACTGAGACTGCGGTCCTCACTACCAAGGGCGAGGACCGAGGTAGCCACCTGCTCGTGTCAGGGAGGTCCTGGCCTGCTTCATCAGCACCCCTCCTTCTGGGACTGTCCTTGAGCGTGCTTGCAGCTGAAGGTAAGCCCAGCCTGGGGAGCACAGGGCAACAGGCCGGTGTGCCCGCTACACAGCAGGAACTCGAGGCTTGGCCACCGCCGTGCTGCGTGGAGAGGACCCGGTTAGACTTCCAGAAGCTTAAGTAGGTGGGAGGGGAGGAAGAACAAAGCATGGTGGCGAGTGTGTGGAGGTGGCAGGAGAACCCCATTAACGTGTGACCCAGCTGAGGAGGAGGAGGGCGGGGGAAGAGAGGAAGAGGCAGGGTAGCCATGGCACTCTGAGCACATGCTCCGTGCCACAGGCTGTCCTGGCCACACAGTGAACTCCAGGCCAGCAGTGACACTTCCGCAGACCCGCTGAGGAAACCAGTGGCCCTGCAAAGACTGTGTCCCTCCACGGCCCTGGCCCTGACTCTGTGCTCCCTCTTCTGGCTTGCTGACTCAATTCCTCCAGACTTCAAGTCTGTTAACAGCAAAATCTCCTCACAGCCTGGTCCCCACCCTGGGCACTGCCACTCGGGGAAGTGACCTTTCTGCTACCTGGATGGCAAAACCCGAGCGACAACACCTTGGCCTCAGAGCTCTCAGGCTCCGCCTGCACAGTTCACTGCTGTCTTCC